AGCATCAGTTGAAGCATCGATGATAGCAAAGCCCCACAGATGTAGATGAGGCAGCCGTCAATGCCGGGACGGTCCACTTGGATTTGGTCCTGCAGCATGTCAGAAATTCAGACGAAGTAATTGCAGCGCGTCGTGTGGGCGTCCCACTTGGCAATTGCCCATGATCGCGAGATTTTCTGTGCAAGCGTGAGTTGTGTCTTTGACTGCCCGTGTGCATCATGTACTTTGCGATCAAATATATGATATGTCTTGCACCTTTTGCTTCGAATTCTCGTGCGCGTGTGCCACTTTGAAAGCACGCAGGTTGCTTGCTTCGTTTGCCCCAGCCAAGGCCAACCATCGTTTTGCTGGAACTCAGCGCCACCAGGGAACAGTTTAATTCTCGGCTTGGGGTGTTGAGCAGGCCAGCGGCTTGCCGCCAGGGCTCGATGGGAGAGACGCGGGAAGTGACTCGTTGCCCTCAGCAGCTACCACCACTTATGCCACAAATGGATGTGTTTTATCCACAATTTACGTGTAATATAATTACATGTGTGCCCATACTTGTACTTATTTATAGTGTGTATATGCATATATACATATATACGGTTTATTTCTGGGAAACAGACAAAACTGTTTTTGAGCGTAGGCTTTCTTTTGAACGCGCAACCGCCGGTGCTATTTTAACAAAGAACACGCTTGCAACATGTCCGCACGGTAGCCATTTTGGCTCAAGCCTAGAGGCGGGTGGGCGGGAGGTCCATCTTTCGGAACACCCGAGTGGTGCAATAGGTCCATCTTTCGGAACACCCGAGTGGTGCAATGGATGCGCGACTGTGACAGTTGTTTTGGGTCGCCACGAACTCTGGGAACAGAGTGACCTGGGTGCGCTACTCCTCATGAGTTGCATGTCTTGGTCCTTCTGTTATTGACATGGCATCTTCAGAGCATTTATCTCCCGCAGGGGAATTTTCGGATGCTCGCCATGCTGGTTGCAGAAACAACGAATCTAACCCAGATTTTGCTTTTGGCTTTCACCCCTTTTTCGAAAAACAACTGGACCTTACAGATCAAGAGGACCAACCCGTTCAGATTGGCAGTGCTTCTTCGAGCTCATTCGCGCTTGTGTCGGATTTCGCTTTGAACAATAGGCCCAACAAAAGACTTCGAATCGGAGACTTGCCCGGCACGAACGTTTTTGCAGCCAATATTCAGGATCTGGCGCTTGACATTATTCTCAGAGACAGACGCTCATCAGGGCTCCAACAACCCTGGGAATCTGGTTTTCTTGGCAGGGTTTTTGACGCTAAGCCTGAAAACAAGCCATTATTGCTGCCTTGGGTTGGCAGATACGAGGCTTTCCAACGAATACCGCAAAGTTCGCAATCAATGGCGTCCATGAACCAGTATCAAAAGAAGATGGCAATTCGTCGGCTGCGTATTGCAAAGCTGGTCAGGACGGAGGACTCTGTTCGGTTTCAAGCACTTAGCCGCTTTCAGACCTTGGTGCTAGCAGACCAACAAGCCACCCTACTGGGACAATCTCTCATGTCGTTAGCCGGTAGCTTGGTGCCCGAGTCGACGATCCGAAAGACCTTTGACCATGTTTTTAGCCCTAAGGCAACTGGCACGTTGACCAAAAGGGCTGCCTCAGTTTGGAGACTTGCAAGCTGGTGTATGAACTCACGTGTCGGCAATGCTTTCCGGGCTACAGAAGCTGACCTTTACGGGTACATGTTGCACTTGGAAAGCACGTCTGCGGCTCCCACAGTCACAAGGGTATTTGTCCAGTCGTATTCTTTTGCCCATGCGCTTTTGGGAATCACAGTCGCCCCCTTGACAGTGCAGGTTTCTCCTAGGGTCAAGGGCGCCGCTGATAAGATGGCCCAGGCGAAGCGGCCTTTAACCCAGGCAATACCATTGACTACGGACGCGGTGTGTGGTCTGGAGATCATGTGCTTTGAAGCCCCCTCGGATCACCTCAAATTAATTGGGTGTCATTTGTGCTTTTGCATTTTCTCATGCTGCAGGTTTGCTGACAGTCAGCACTTGACCGATATTGAGCTGTCATCTTCTGGAGAGCTCCACTTGGTCGAGACCTCTACAACACGGTACAAGAGCTCGACCACGCAGGAAAAGAAAGCCCTCATGCTCCCACTATATGCAGTTGGACGAGGCCTTTACCATCGCCCTTGGGCCGTTCAGTGGATCACCCTCAGAAATAATTTTCTCTTCATTTGAGATCGTATGCTCTTCCTGCTTGGGGCGAGATCACTGGTGCTTTCATAGACAGGCCCATGATGACCGCAGAAGCCCATTGTTTCTTGCTTGAACTTCTGGATTTGGCAGGGGTCAACATGGATCCTCGCCCTTCATGCCACTCCTTAAAGGCGACGTTGTTGACCTGGTGCTCAAAATCCAATCAGGTATCCTTTGCAGATAGAAGATTGCTTGGCCACCACTTGGCTCCTGGGCAAGAGAGCGCTTTGACTTATTCTCGTGACGAGATGGTCAGACTTCAAAGCTGCGTGATTTTGATTCAAATCAGAACTGCAGAGTTCGACCCAGATCTCCCTAGAGTCGAACGCCTTCGAGGACTGATTGGTTTCAATGTGGAGGAAGATCAGATACCAGCAGAAGGGCAGGAAGAGGTGGAACTCCTGTCAGAATCCGATGAAGAAGAGGTGGCCGTCTCCGAGCTATTGCCCACACCTGGAGGCGCAACGCGACCCTGTCTGGGACACACTCCTTGTGGATGGGCAAGGCCTGTTTCATACACACTTGGGCCTGAGGCTGGGTGAGTTGCTGGCTGGGCTGGGCCCGAGGCCAGTCGCAGACACGTAAGACACGCCAGCAGGCGGGCTGAGGGACTGGGCCTGAGGCTAGTCTCAGGCTTGGCATACTTTGAGACTGGTCTCAGACTGCGCCAAAGGGGCTGGGCCTGCTTGAACAGCCGGACTGAGGGGCTGGGGCACGTCAGACAGGCTTAGTAGCTGGCATAGCTTGAAACCACTCTCAGACACGTGAGACTGGTCGTTGGCCTCAGGCCAGTCTCAGACACGTTAGACAAACATGACCTTGGCACGCTAAGCTGAGGTTGCTGGCGGCCTGGAAGCTGAGGCCGGCCTAGTGGCTGGCATGCCCTAAGATGCGCCGGGGCCTGGGCTGGGCAGTCTGGGCTGGGCTTGCTGGATGACTTGGGGCCGTGCTTGGGCGGGTTGCTGCTTGGGCTAGGCCTGTGTCAGGCAAGCTTGAGGCTGGTGGGCTGGGCTGACGCCTGGTTGGGCTGGGCCTGAGCCTTAGTCTCAGACACGTCAGACAGGCCTGGCCAGCAGGAGATCATGCTTGCAATTGTCAGCACATTTTCGACAAAAATGGACCCATGGAGCTGGACGCCGACGAACCCCGAAAATTTCAAGGCCCGCCGGACAGGATTTTGGGCCAGCCGACATGGGTGGGGGGTGGGGGGGGCCGGCAAAATTCGAGAAAAAAATGAGCCTTGGCCCCTTTGGCCGAGGCGAATTTCGACGGATCTGGAAACCTGCGCCTCACTAAAAAGCAAGCCGAGTCTGCTTGTTCTTTGACGGGGGACTTGGCCATCCGTCAGGCTCTCCAGAGAAGAAGCCTGGCCTTCGACCTGGCGGGGGTTATTGATTTCTCGGAACAGGAGCTCTGGCATGATTCTGGCTTTCAAATCATGGCTCGCGATGCTTTGCCAGGGTACAAGCAGACCTCCATGCATCAATTTCGGGAGGCCGACCGCATGCTCTGGACAAAAGTTTCTGAAACGACAAGGTCCAATGTTGCAAGATTGCCAAACGGCGATAAGCCAGTTCAGATCGCTTTTGCAAAAGCACCCGAGTCAGCGGAAATCATGTTCATGTTGCAGCCTCTGCCGAAGCCTTCAGAGCACAGTGCGCCCAAGAGCTCTTCTAACTCGACTCCTTCGGCCCCCGTCAAGAAGAAGTTTGACAAGAAGGGCAAGGGGAAGGGCAAGAACTAACAGTCTTCTGTCCCACCACCGCCAGACATTCCTGAGGATTGCGTCCGGAAGACCCCTGATGGACGCCCTTTGTGCTTCAACTGAAATTAGGGGTTTGTGCAAGCGAGCGCAAGCGGGGAAGCGATGTGACAGGGAATGGCATCTTTGTTGGAAGGATGGTTGCTTCGCGCCAAAGATCTATGGGGAGTGCACCCACTCCCGCTCTGACTGACTTGATCAAGGTATGCTTGATGATCCGACGCCGCCAATGAAGAGACCAAGACCGGACTCTGAAAGCGGCTGGGGGTCATCGCAAACGCTGCCCAATCCCAAAGTTTTCCCTTCGCAGCCACCCCCTTTGACTACGAACACCTTGCCTGGTCTTGATGTCTCCGCAGCTCGCGCAGACATGCCGCTGTTTATTGAAGTTTGCGCCGGTTGTGCCAAATTGTCTCGCGCGGTTCACAAAGCAGGTTTCGATTGCATTGCAGTGGATCACGAGGCAAACAGGCACAAGCCTTCTTTTCCTATTTTGGTTTTGGACCTTGCTGACCATGATGCTCAGTCAGTTTTCTGGAATATGCTTCACTCAAAGCGTCCAGAAGCCTTGTGTGAAGTTGTCATCCGACACTTGATGCATGGTGGATTCATGTCACTTCATGTGTGGCCATCTGGCCCAATTTCATATCCCCCACCAACAGGGTGGGCACTTCACACGTTGGCCTCGGAGGCCATCTGCATCGCCCGGGCGAGGAGCCTTTGACTGCGCACGCCCTGCCAAAAGGGCCGCTTCGTTTGTGACCTCAGGGACTTCGTGCGCCTTGAGTACTGAGTTTTGGATCTTGCACCAACTCTTCAAGTTGGTAGCGGAGCCCTACGGCAAGTTCGCCTGGACTTGCTCTACGGCACCTTCCTTGCACGTGCACGACGGCACCCTCACCTGAACCTGCTCTTCGGCATCTTCAGCTGAGCCTGCCCTACGTCACCTTCACCTTCACGAGCCCAACACAAAGCACCACAGCCCCGTTCTGCCATCACCATGCCCGAGGAAGCCAGAAGCAGCTCACAGACCAATGGGCCTGGTTCCACCGATGTCACCAGAGACAACTTCATCCCCCTCTTCGATGGCAAGCCTGCCTCCTACAAGGAGTACCGCAAGCGCATCATGCTGTACTACCTGAAGATGAGCATCAACAACAAAAAGAAGGAGGCCACCATCAACCTTCTGACCAGCCTCAGCGGTCCTGCTTGGCGCCAAGTCGAACACATGGTCGACGCGGCCGCTGCGAAGGATGATGGTTTTCAAGATGTAATCCAGCAACTGGACAAAGCCTTCCAGTACGACGACCGCGTCGAGATGCCCCGCACCTTCGAGAAGTTCTTCTTTCACCTGCAGCGGCGACCAGAGATGAATCTCCTGACCTACTGCACCGAGCACCGGGAACACCTTCGATAGATCGAGAAACACAAGATCAACCTGCCCCCGACCATCTCTGGGTGGTTGCTGCTGAGGAGAACCAACCTCACTGCGGAGCAGGGACAGCTAGTCATGACCCACACCTCCGGCGAGCTCACCCTCGAGAAGGTTGAGGAATCCCTGTACTACCTGTTCGGCCAGGACTACACCTCCCGACCTACGCATCGGCCGATCACTTCAACAACCTGGGACGCCGGAAGAACGAAGTTCCGATCCACCTACAAGTGGTCCAACTACCGCAAGCCTACCTCGAGGAAGACTACCCCGAGCCCCTCGTCCCAGAGGATGACGGCGTCCTTGAAGCCGACTACGTCCCCGAGGACGAGGAGATCTTCTGGGAGGCCGAGGAGGACTCCCGCCGACCCAGAGGCCGCCGAGGATGAATCTCATCAGGAAGAAGAAGAAGAAGTCTACGCGGCCTACATGGACGCTCGCCGGAAGCTGGCCGAGGTCAGATCTGCCCGCGGCTACTACCCGGTTGTCGCCCTCGGCCCGTCCGGCTCGATGAATGCCGTCATGGCCAACCCCTCTTCGTCTCCTCCCGGCCCTGGCGGAAAAGCTGGAAAAGGCGGACGACGTCCCAAAGGAAAAGGAGGTAAGCGCGCTGGCAAACCTCCCCAAAAAGGATCGGCCTCCGCTCGCGGCAAGTCAGCCACACAACAAAACCGTTGTCTTCGATGCGGTCAAGAGGGTCACTGGGCAGCCAACTGCCCCTCAAACTCCAACTCTCCGAACAAGCGCGCAAAAGGCGCTGATGCTATGGTGGCCACCCTCAGCGACCAGAACCCCGAAGACATGGCCTACATCCAGGATTCCCCCAACGGCATGATCACTGGTCTACAGGATGGGGGCGCCTCAAGCGTCATCTGCGGCCACGACACCATGATGAACATCGTCTCCGACATGGTCCGGAAGAACGTCAATCCCCGAGAGTTCAAGTTCAGCAGAACTCACAAGACCATCCGGTTCGGCGGCGACGGCAACAGCATCGCCTCATGGTGCATTCACCTCCCAGTGTTCACCAAGACGGCCTAACCAGACGCTATTTGCAACCGGCCATTGTTTACTCAACCAGCCACTCTTTACCGTTGAACCGGCCATTGTTTACTTAACCGAAAACGTTTGCGAGATCTGAAGCCGTTTTGAGGCATTTGGTTCGCAAACATGTTTCTGTTGGCTTTCCCAGGCAAGGGATGCTTGCGCAGGCAGCGCTGTTGATGTTTCAGTCGGCTTGCTGCAGCGCCAAGTGCGCGCATGTGGCAAGCTTTGACAAGATTTGCAACCACTTCAAGGCCTGATTTTTGCAAACGTATTTACTGTTGTATATGCAAGCGGCTGGCAACGCATTTATAAACTTTGCGTTGCCGAGACGGGGGGTTGCTACCACGGCGTTGCCACCCCCGTTTCTTCCGAACACACCAAACTTTGGACTGGCTTTCCCTTTCAACACTCCTGAATAACATGAGCGCCGGCAAGTTTTCTAGTGACCCTTGCGTGTTGAATTTTGATTCGGCTATTCCTTTGCATTTATGACTTCGGCTATTGAATTGACTGTGCATTTTTGCCTGAAACTGCGTAAGCCTTGCTGTAAAGGGCGACCGTCCAGCCCTAGCACTTGAGAAAGGGAGGGGCGCCACTTCTACAAAACACTGTCGCAAAGTAAGCTTCGCCCCCAAGGCCGCACGAACATCCAAGCTGGTCCAGACCCAGTTCTAGCTCATTATTAAGGAGGCGACAAGCAAGAAGAGAAGATGCAAACACACCTGCAACCAAACAAACAGACAGACGCACAAACTACCCAACACACAAAGAATCTTACCAAACCATCAAAGAAACACATCCAACGCGCGCGCAAACACACAAACACACAAAGCGCGTCCGCGCAATAGATACTCAAAAGATGCGCCGCAATGCGCCGGTTGTTTCAGAGTGCTTTGCCAGAAGGCGCAAACTGTACTTACAAAGTTCAGAAGCATGGGCGAAAGCACCTGTTTCTGGTTGGTTTGGAATTTGCTTCTGCCACCGGGGCGTCCTCTCTCAGAGATCTAGCCCGCGTTAACAGTAGACCCCCTCCACGATCCAGCGGTTGGTTTGTTCCCCTGCGGGCGGGGTGACAAGCGGGAAATTGGAACCTGTCCGTGGGCAAGGCTCTGAGTGGCCGGGGCACGGCCACTGGCATTGAGTGTTCTGCTTTTTGACCTTTCGCTTTGCCTCACCCTTTTCGAAGCAATTCAGCAACTGGCCTTTCAAGTAGCCTGGATTGTCAGATTGTTGTGTCGTCGGCCCCCCGCTGCCGCCCGTGCGGTCTAGTTTCCAAGTGGACGGCGCTTTCAATTTTGCGTGGCCTCATTTGCAAGAGAGGGGGGGCGCCGCCAGGCAAGATGAATATGAAACTGCGCCCTGTCCAAAGGCAAGGCTCCAGTTTTTGAACATCATAGATGCTTCTTCTGCCTGTCGGCGGGAGAGCAGGGAAATACTAATGGAAAACAGGTGGCAGTTGTTGAATAGCTTCGAAATTGGTCTGCTTAGCAAAAAATTGCAAGAAGACAAAAGAGCAATCCCAAAGCTCGGGCATTGCAAAGCTCGGGTCAATCTCTTTGTCGCACTGCCCTGCAAGCAAAACCCAACCGATCCTGATCAAATCAAATTTACACAACGGATTGGTCAGAAGCGGTCAGGTGATCAGATTTGATCAGGTGTGACCAGGTGTCATTTTGGTTGGCTGGGGCCTGACCAGCAAACAGTTTGTTCGTTGTACCAACGAACTTGCTACACTCGATCCTTGAACCTTGAAGCTTAAACAATTAGGCATTGTTCACTTTGCTTGCGGTTGCCTTGCAAGGAACGACAAGCCAATCCAAAACTCAAGCGTTGGCTTGAAGTGGCGTAGAGGCCTGGAGCTTCTTCTCCAAATCCAAATCGCTAAAGGACTAGAGACCTGTGTAGGGCGCTGAAGCCAAAGCCAAACAATGGCAACTTGCAACTGGACAGGGTGTAGTGCGTGGTGGCCTTCCCAACTACCCTGCCATGGCTGGAACACAAATGCCCATTCTTGCTCGACCCGCCCAGCCGTTCAAAAACTGGCAGCTTGCCAACAAACAATTTCCAGTCGTTAAGCGGCTTGGGTTTTCAAATTGTCTTTAAACGGCTTGCTTTTTAATAGAAATCCTCCTGCCTGGGAGCGTACGTGCGAGCAAAAGCGAAGCTCAAGCCATTCAAGAAAACTGGAGCCTTGCAAACGCGCAGGGTTGTTATTCCAAGTCGCCTGGGTCTTGTTTTTCATGTATTGCTTGAGATGGCAATCGGCACTTGGCTGCCAGACAAGTTCTTGTGTTTTAGGAAGGGAACTGTTTTGATTTTTGCACGCCTGCCCCAACATGCATTTGTCTCCCCCCTTGTGCAACATTTCAAAACCTGGCGCGCCACGAGACAAAAATCATGCTTGAATGGCCCTCGCTAGCGCATTTCTACTTGTCTTTGCCCCCACCTCCCTCGCGGGTCGAAATAAACTCCCAACCGTGACAGGGCCTAGTTTTCGAGTAGCCTGGGTGTTTCATTGGGTTGTTTGGGGCACCACTGTCCAGGCAGAATTTCCTATGCCACTCGACAAGCCGGTGACTCCAAGGGCCCATGACAAAAGCAAACTTTCAAAAAGGATTAGCTCTTTGTCTAAAGGATTGAGTGTGTGTTGGTGGAGAATCAGAAACACGCAGCCCTTGGTAGAAAGGGGGCTCGTAGCACCTAATGCTCCCACGTGGCCCAGCTGGCATTGACAAGAAACGCTATCGGAGCGCCTGCGCTTGTTGAAGCCTTTGTTTTAAGTCAGAATTGCGACAGTTGAATTTGCCATTTAAGGGCCCTAAGAACTTAACAAAAAACATTCAAACCAGGGCTCCCTCAATAGAACACAACCTCGGATCCTGTTGATGCAACCAATGCCCGACGCTCGGGGCATATAATTTGCAGCACTTGCTGTTGCATTGCAGACCCCGACCCCGCCCCAACACGGTCTGACATGTCTTTTCATGTAATAGCATTCGGCTTGACATGGTTTTGCCACAGCGCCGGTCGAACCCTCCGTTTGCCGACCTCGCGGATTGACACGGCTTGACACACTTTTGCAAGGAGTGGCTCGGACTTCTTGTGTGATATAGGGTCCGGTGACACGGTTTGACACGGTTTTGCGCAGAAGAAAAAACTCAATTTGCCAACCCGCTCCCCGACACGGTTTGACACGGTTTTTCCTGCAAATAAGGTCCGGTTACACGGTTTGACACGGTTTGACACGCTTTTGCCAAGGCGCGGATTGGAGTAGCAAGCGGGCTTGTCGACTCCCTCCCCGACACGGTTTGACACGGTTTTTCCTGTAAATAAGGTCCGGTGACACGGTTTGACATGGCTTGACACGTTTTTGCCAACCACCATGAATCAACTCGCGAACCCGGATAAGTTAAACCGTGTTAAACCGTGTCACGGGATGCTATTTACAGACGTGGCCGCGAGAAGGTCGGCAGGTTGGGCTTCCCCCGCTTCCGCATATGGCACGCGCTTTGGAACGTGTCAAACCGTGTCACCGCTTCTCAAGTTGAGCTTTTCTCCTTCCTGCTCCGATCCGCGCCTTGGCACAAGCGTGTCAAACCGTGTCAAACCGTGTCACCGGACCTTATTTACAGGCAAAACCGTGTCAAACCGTGTCGGGGAGGGAGTCGACAAGCCCGCTTGCTACTCCAATCCGCGCCTTGGCAAAAGCGTGTCAAACCGTGTCAAGCCGTGTAACCGGACCTTATTTGCAGGAAAAACCGTGTCAAACCGGCAAATTGAGTTTGTTCTTCTGCGCAAAACCGTGTCAAACCATGTCACTGGACCCTATATCTCATGAAAAACCGTGTCAGACCGTCCTGGGGAGGGAGCCGACATGCCCCAGGCAACTCAGAAACTAGGGAAGGTGTAATCTGAAGCCGGCTGGGTTTCTGAATTTCGCCTTGAGCCCCGGTAGAAGTAGTCAAGAGTATGGTTTGCTTGGGGGTGCGCCCAGGCAAAAACAATCTGAAACAATCGGCGCGTTTCCACTTGACAGGCTCTTGTTGTTCTGCGCGTGTTAAGTTTCTGTTGCGTGTGTGTTCTTTGCGTAGATGCTACTTGTTTTTTTTTTTTGCGCGGGTGCTGTTCTGCATGCGTGTGTCACGTCTGCTTTGACTGTTTGCATGTTTAGTAGTTTCCGAGTCCGTCTGCTTCTTTGTCGGTTAGTTTGGTCGCGGGTGTTTGTAATTACATGTTTGCTTCGATGGCCTGTTGGTTGGTTCCTTCCTTGGTCTGATTGTTTTCTCGTTCGCTTGCCTGCCTCCTTGAACAAACGGCCGAAACTCGGCTTGGACATTGATGTGGCCTTGGGGGGGGGGGCAGCTTACTTTGTGAAAGTGTTGTCTTGGAATGGGATATCTTTGTTCAATGCTCAGGCTGGAAGCGCGCCCCCTTTATGGCAAGGCTTTGCATAAGCGCAAGGCTTTCACATTTGCTTTTGGGCAACGAACCTACACAGTTTCAGGCCGACCGGAGCAGTCACATCAATAGTTCCGACTCAATGGCAAACATATCAAAAGCACAAGGAGGCGTTTGTGAAAACCTTGGCCACCCCTGACCTTCGTTGGAAACACCAAGAGGGAGACCGAAGCGACGGAAACCCATAGCTGATGCTCAGGGTGGCTGTGGCAGAGCGCGACCTTGACTCACTGGGGCTCCCCTTAAAGCTGCAACTTTGGAAGCTCCAAAAAAAGGTCCGCAAACATTGGGGTTGAACAGTGCGGCCAAGGGCTCCTGCAAGAAATTTGCAGAGCCTTTTTCGCGAAACCGTGCGGTGTAGGGCCCCGGAACCCCTGACGTCGGCCAATGTCGGCATTTGTCGGCATTTGTCGGCGCATGCTTTTGTGGTTTTTACCTGCGCTTGATATCGACCGCGGCTCTCTCGGCTCGAGACTCCTTTGTTTTTCTTTTCTTTTTCTTCCTCGCAGCTGCCCGCACGCTATGGCGGAGACTGCGTCCCCGAAGGCTTCGACTCGCCGAACTGAGGCGCCACTCTGAGCGCCCGTGCGGCTCCGTCTGGCGGCACACTGGGCGCGAGATCTTAACGCGGCCCAGCGTGGACGCTCCCTCTACAATTCCGGCTATGTGGACCACGTGCGACCAGGACTTGATCTGCCTGCACTAGTTATAACCTTGCCGCTGTTTGGTGGCTTCATGTGTATATAGCGCGAACTCAACACCCGTGCCGAGAATGCGTTGTGGAAAAAAAGTACTGCCGCGGCTGCCGCCCGAGTAACTTAGGGTGAACTTATAAGTTCGTTTTAACTTGCATAAGTTAGCTGCTTCATAAGTAAACTATAAGTTAGATAAGTAACCTGTAAGCCCCGTAAGTTCTTTCCTGCATACTGGTAACCTTGCCGCTGTTTGGTGGCTTCATGTGTATATAGCGCGAACTCAACACCCGTGCCGAGAATGCGTTGTGGAAAAAAAGTACTGCCGCGGCTGCCGCCCGAGTAACTTAGGGTGAACTTATAAGTTCGTTTTAACTTGCATAAGTTAGCTGCTTCATAAGTAACTTATAAGTTAGATAAGTAACTTATAAGCCCCGTAAGTTATTTCCTGCATACTGGCAAGGCAAGACTTTCCTGGCAAGCGAAACCAGCAAAACAAGCGCCAGCCAGCGTCCCTGGCATCACCACCCAGCATCATCATTGGCATCACAAGCGTCGCTGACACTAAAAGTTTTGCGACGCGTGGGTTTCTCTGCAGGAGTTCGCGGTGGACCGGGTTGTTGTTGACGCCCGGCAATCTAAAACAAAGGCTTGCGGCATCTTGCGGCATCTTTCATGCATGATGGCTGCGCAGCCAAACGCCAACCGGCCATTGTTTGCGGCCATATAGCTAACCGCCCATTAAATAGCGTCTGGTTAGGCATGGCTGGCTACAAGGTACGAGTACAGTTCTTCCTGGTCGAGGGTCGAACGCCTCTCTTGCTCAGTAGACCCATCCTGGAGGCCCTCAAGCTCAAGGTCGACTACGAGCAGCAGACCTGCAGCATCCTTGGAGAACCATGGCAACCCGCCACTCGCGGACCCATGGGTGAGTACCTCATTGCCTGGACGAAGGCATCGAGGATGCTCTCGAGCAGGATCTCGCCTTCGACTACATGACCGACGACATGGTCACCGATCTGGGCAACCACGACTACCTCAAGGACACTGGCCGGTCAGGCCCCATGCTTCCTGAACCCACCTACGTGGCAGAGGAGGCAGTTCCCCAACTACGCTGTCTTCACCACGAACTCGACAACGACGGCACCACCGAGCCCGTCCAGATGCCCCTGCCTCACAAAATGTGGAAACCTTGGACGTGGCCTTGGCCACGTGGGACAACCAGCAAAACCGGCACGTCGATGATGCTCTCCGAACCAAGCCGGCCACCACCTACGTGTTCTGGGAAATCTACTCCGGCCGTAGCAACCTGTCCAAAGCCATGGAAGAACTCGGCTGGGAGGTCCGCACCTTTGACCTTCCGGAGTGGAACTTCACCCAATCTGCACATCGGCAAGCACTACTTCGAGTCATCGATGAGGAGATGCCTGATGTCATCTGGTTGGCACCTCCATGCAAAAAGTGGAGTCGAATGCAGCAGGTTAACCAGCGCAACGAGCACCAAGCCGAATGCCTCGCCATCGACCGGGGAATGGAGCATCGCACCAACCTGAAGCTCACCCGGCAGGCATACCTCAAACAGCAACGTGCAGGCCGGCAAGCCTATGTGGAACACCCTCTCTCCTCTTTGGCATGGACCACTCCTGCACTTCATGACCTACCTGGTCGTCGAGCCGAAATCCCATCAGTGTGCCTATGGCGCTGGATTCTGGATGAATGACCACGAGTGGGCCTACATCAAGAAGCCCACGGCCATCCTCTCGACCGAGGCCGAGTTCACAGAGCACTTCAACCTGAAATGCCCCGGAGATCACCTTCACCTGCAGCTTCAAAGAAGCCTTCCACACGTGGGCAGTCTGACCGGAGCGGCAGCAGCCTATCAGCCGGACATGTGCCACGCCATTGCCGACCTCATCACCTCCATCACCTACGCATCTCCGGAGTATGTGTTCCATGAGGACGACCAACCTGAAGCAGTTGCAGAACAACCTGATCACCCCGAAGCTGAGCCACCTCAGCATAAGGGCATCCTGCAACGGATCCATGACAGCCGACCGGTTGAGTCCCAACGACTCATTGCCCGACTGCACCGCAACCTCGGACACCCCAGCCAGAAGGACCTGCTCAAGATCCTCGAAGCAAGGGGTGCCTCGCAACATGTGCTCAACGCCCTCAAGAACTACCACTGCGAGCTTTGCAGCCGGTACGCACCACCAGCTCAATCCCCCAAGGCCGCCATCTGCACTGCCGAGCACTTCAACCAGCGACTTCAAGCTGACACACTCTGGATCCAAATCCAGGGGAAACCCACACCTGTGCTCACCATGGACACTTGCCTTACACCGTGTACTATGCCAGCAGTTCGTGGCACTTCGACACTGCTGCTGAAGCAGAGTATCCAGACCTTTTATGCTCCAGATATGCAAAGCTGCCGCGGGCTCATTGTGGGCTGCCTGAAGGCATAACACGAAGCCGTCTGCCCGAACCTCGCATTGCGTCTCTCAACGCAGTGGGCAGACAGCATTGTCAGCAGCCGCAACTCATACCCGAATTCAAGTGCATCGTTGAGAAGAAGCCCCCTCCTTCTGTCGCCTTCAAACATCTCAGGGCTCAGAATCTGGGGGTGCAAAGCGGGAGCCCTGAAGAATTGGAGGAATTTCGGCATCAGCCAGCTGATGTAGACGGCAACGGAGTCAAGTATGGACTTTTTCACACCAAGGAGGAGTTCCTCAAGAAAGCTCTTGAGGTGGAACACCCAGCGGCAACTAGGAACCCTGTGCCGGACTCCCTTCGCGTGGCCCTGTTTGACAAACTTGTGAAAGGGCCCTTGCATGTTGCCAAAGTGCGTCTCCAAGCTACTCTCAGGATTAAAAAGCTGAGCAAGAGCTCAGGGCGGAGGAGGCCAGATTTCAAGCCACTTTGCCAGGCCATGTCCAAGAGGTGGTAAAAGGAAAAACCTCCTTCTTTCCAGACTGCAAGGTTATCGATTTGATGAAGGGCGTCGACCTGGTTGGCACTCCTACAAAATCCACACTTTTCCTGGAGGGCTTTATTCCAGCAAAGACGACGCCGGCATTGCTTTCGAAGTCTGCTGTTTGGAGGAACAAGCGCACCCTGGCTACACTTCCTTGGGATGAAGACCGTCGGAAGAGAGATATCCTTTGGGAACAGACGATGCTTGAAGTTTTTAAAGGATGGGCCCTTTTGCAGCGAGCAAGAGTTGGTGGATGCTCTGGGAACTGGAGATTTCCTGATCAACAAGAGATTCTTGCTGCTTCAGGGCGAGGCTCAGAAACCCAGAGTGATAGATGACTGCAAGGCCTCTGGGCTGAACTCTGCGTTCACATGTGTGGACAAGCTGACCCTTCAAGATTTTGGTTTTCTCATGGCCTTGACTTCTCTTTCTGGCGGCGCGGTGAACGAAAGATCAGTTTGTGTTCGTCTTCAAGGGGGAGAATTGCTGCAGGGAACGCTTTCAAGGGAATATGCTGGATCCCCCAACTGGAAGGGCAGGTGTCTCGACCTGGCCAAGGCATACCGACAGGTTCCGATTTCGCAGAGGGATCTGAAGTACGCAGTCCTCGCAGTAAGGGATCCGAAAAACAAGAACCCCAGGTTTTTTATATCGAGCTCCATCCCATTTGGAGCCTGCTCTTCGGTGTATGCATTTACCCGACTGTCTCGCTCCCTGCATCATCTCATGGTAAATGTCCTGGCGATAACAGGGTCTGTGTTCTTTGACGATTTTCCGTTACTGGAAGCAGAGCAGTTGTCATAGTTGTCCGCGTCTTGCACCTCTGCTGTGGAGGCCCTCCTGAAAGCGCTCGGCTGGCTCTTTGCTAAAGACGAGGAGAAGGGCAGAGATTTTTCCCCGGCTTTCAATGTTCTTGGGGCTCACGTGAACCTATCTGACTTGAGCAGCGGGCTGGTTGTGCTCTCGAACAAGGACGGCCGTATTGAGCGAATTTGCCAACAAGTAGAAAGCGTGCAGCTGCAAGGGGCGCTGACCAAGCGGGACGCTCAGGTGGTCCAGGGCCTTCTGAGCTACGCCATAGGTCTTAGCCTGGGAAGTACCATGAAAGTGGCCTGCCGAATGTTTGCTGAAATGGCCTCGGGGCGGAAGCCGCTTTCGCCAGCAGACTTGACGCAACTTTGCAAGTGGACCATAAGTCAGCTGAAGTTGCTGGCGCCACGAATAATTGACCTCAGGTTGCCTCAGATTCCTGTTCTGATCTTCACTGATGCGGCTTATGAAGGCGGCGTGGCCACTTGGGGCTCGGTCGTCATTGACCCAGCTTCGGGCGTCAGAGCAGTCAACGCTGGCACCATCCTGCACCCCTGGTCAAATTCTGGACCGACGTGGCAGGTGCTCAGGTCATTTGCCAGGCGACCTTACACCAGCGCGCCCTGATGGGAGTCCTCGATGGACATGAATTTCCCGCCCTTGGCATTGGTCTGAACGTCCAGCCCAAGTGCAAGCTTCATGGTTGCGGAGTTCGACGCGCGGAGCGAAGACGCGCGATTCTATTTGTAGACAACCAACCATCTAGGTTCAGCCTCATCCGAGGTACCAGCAATTCATGGTCTATGTTGACCCTCTTGCAAGAGTTTCACCTCGCGGGCGAAGCAGATCACTCTATCATGTGGATAGAGCGAGTGGCATCAGAAAGCAACATTGCTGACTTGCCCTCCAGGGGAGCGGGCTCGGAAGCTGCTGCACTTATTGGAGGAAGATTTGAAGGTGACTTGGAGATGCCTATTGAAGCCATGGAACGACTCATGCTACCGCCCATGAAATTTATCACCTCAAATGAGACTCACGCCGAAGCTCCTGTCGAAGCTGTGCATGAAAGCGACTTCAGATAAGGGGAAATCCGTGTCGCTGCATCGCCCGTGGCGCAGTGAGAGAAGCCGTCCTCTCCTGTGTGTGCCACCCAAGGGCCCCGAGATGCAGATTTTGAACTTTGCCCCAGATCTCGCTAACACACACACAGCCAGAATAAAACAAGGAGCGATCGAGTGCAGTCCAGGGGCTCTCGACGATCTCTGTTTGCATTAGTTGAGTCCGGCCCTTTGCTGGACGCATTTGTTTTTTTTATGGTTGTCAAGTCTTGGCAGTTGCGCAGTTTGCAGCATGGCTGATTCACTTTTCAGGCATCGCCTTGTCCGCTGCGCCTTCACTTTTAATATGCGTTTTTGATTTCAGCATGTCTGTGCATTTTGCTCAAAAGGGAGGTCTTGCGCCCCCCCCCCTCTGTGGCAATCGGCCACTGTAGTTTGAGCCAACACGCAGACGCCATTTATTATGCTGAAGCGCTGTTTTTGGAGAATGCTCGTCAACGGTTGTCAGCCTGTCATTCCTTTGCAGGAAGCTCAGGCGGTCGAGCAACAAGACGGTTTATTTCTGGGAAACAGACAAAACTGTCTTTGAGCGTAGGCTTTCTTTTGAAAGCGCAACCGCCGGTGCTATTTTAACAAAGAACACGCTTGCAACATGTCCGCACGGTCAACCATAGCCTGGCATGTCTAGCTTTGACTGTGGAACCTGCGTTGCTTATGCGATTGTCCGTGTTTGTCCTCCCTCTCAAGCCTAGAGGCGGGTGGGCGGGAGGTCCATCTTTCGGAACACCCGAGTGGTGCAACCCGCCCGCCCCTACCCTCATGTACAGGGGGGGGAAATCCGTGTCGCTGCATCGCGGGAAATCCGTGTCGCTGCATCGCCCGTGGCGCAGTGAGAGAAACCGTCCTCTCCTGTGTGTGCCACCCAAGGGCCCCGAGATGCAGATTTTGAACTTTTCCCCAGATCTCGCTAACACACACACAGCCAGAATAAAACAAGGAGCGATCGAGTGCAGTCCAGGGGTTCTCGACGATCTCTGTTTGCATTAGTTGAGTCCGGCCCTTTGCTGCACGCATTTGTTATTTTCATGATTGTCAAGTCTTGGCAGTTGCGCAGTTTGCAGCATGGCTGATTCACTTTTCAGGCATCGCCTTGTCCGCTGCGCCTTCACTTTTTAATATGTGTTTTTGATTTCAGCATGTCTGTGCATTTTGCTCAAAAGGGAGGTCTTGCGCCCCCCCCTCCGTGGCAATCGGCCACTGTAGTTTGAGCCAACATGCAGACGCCATTTATTATGCTGAAGCGCTGTTTTTGGAGAATGCTCGTCAACGGTTGTCAGCCTGTCATTCCTTTGCAGGAAGCTCAGGCGGTCGAGCAACAAGACATATATGTACTGTACATATTGAATTGACATGCTGCTTCATTTCCGGCTTCGCCGGCATCCACAAGAGGGAAGCGAGGGACCGAGGAAAGTTAGAGGAGGTCGCAGCACGGGGCGGGCGGGGGCTTTTGTTCTTGCCAAATTGAAGGCCCCAAAACTGCGCGTGGCCTTGCCAATGATCCCAGCTGCGAGACAGAAACGAATGCGGTGCCAGAGCGATGCGAGAGTGCAGTCCATCAACAACTCTACTATCCAAGTGGCGTGTTTTGCGTATTTGCGTTATCCCTCCACGCGAGCTGTGCTGGCGCCGAGTTAAACTTGTGCTGGCGCCGCGGATGTTCCTTGTTGAATATCCTTTGAGGTGTGTTTGTGCATGATTTTATCTAGAAGGTCTCATAGTCAAACTCCATCAGATCACAAAAGCTGACTTGTCAGCAATTTGCCGAGTTGTCGTGGCCAGAGCTTCGAAATTCACGGCCTGAGCCCAACCTCAACGAAACGTGCGCACGGCAAGAACTCATACGGTAACAACTTGGGTGTTGCGCAGGTTTTCCGTCATAGTTTTCGCTGCAGGGCTTTTGAGGTTTTAGTCGCGCCTGTCTTGCTGCCTTAGCTGAGCCACAAAACTGCCAAGATATATGCTGCCACGACCACGTTGGAGTTTTTGACAGGCAGTTGTGTGTAATTAACAAGCATGGTCTGCCGCTTTACTGCACTTAACCACTTGGCCTTGAAATTGTTTGTGTTTCGCGGCGGGCGATGGCTGGTTCTTGTTTTGGGTACACTTGTGTTGCTAAACAGTGGGACAACTTAAATTGACTGTGTTGTGCTTGTTCACTTTGTGACTCATAACGTACCTTGAGCCGACCTGTCCTTACACTTGACTTAGACCACACCAAGAAGCAAGAAACTGCTTAAAACCCCAGCATCCAGCCCGGCTGTCGGAAGCAGTACTTCCTTGACAAGGTAACATTGGGGCTGCGTTGTTGAACCAGTGTTGTGGTGTCCGAATTGATTGACCAATTAGCCAGACACACATGCGCAGTACGAATGGGAAGCAAAACTTACATTGCCTATGTTCATGTTCAACGCCAACTGCATTTCTATTTGGTCTTTTGGGAATGGTCCGGGGTTCTGACATGTTCATGCGCAAAAAGGAGACACATTGAGATGTTGGAGTTGAGGATTTTCAATGCGGGGCACGCTGCAGACAAAACACCGCGTCGTGTTGTGATTAG